ACTGTATGACTTATCAGCCGAATAAGCACTATGGTGTATACTTCTCATGGTTGGGTGAGTACTGGCCATACATATCACCCTAGCAACAGCCTGGAATAATGCAGGTACCACCTCAACAAACACCTTCTGACATCCTTGTCACATCCTAGAAACTAACCTGAGCAACAAGAAAGCATTTGTCAGGATTCTAGTGGCACGTCCACATACAGTAGTAGTGCTTTACTAGCCAGCCAATTAATCATGCTTGTATAGTTTTAAAAACTCATGCGTGTATGTTTTGCATAGACAGCAACCAGGTTCAAAATTATTTCAGAAAAATGACTTTCTGGTTTTAGGAAAATATATTTCTTTGGTTAAGAATAATTCCTGTAATTTTTTCTATAGTAATTTTTATGCTTAATAATCAAAGATTATTAACTGAACATGTGTGAAATTTCAAATGTTGTTAGATGGTCAGAGTAATGATAAACATATTGTATCAAAGTAAAGACCATCTCTGTGTTTTTATGTCATCTGCCTGTTTGTTGACAAAGAGAAATAACAAATTGCCCATGGGCAAAGTCTCCTGTATCTCATGTAAGTGCTTTTTTTTAAGAATCCTAGTGATCAAGAATAATAAGCAACAGCTTTATAATGCATTTCTTAGTGGAGTCAGAAAAATAACTTTATTTTGCAGCTGATCTATTGTCTGAAATAATAATAAGAAAAAAAACAAACATCTTAAGCATTATCTTACCTCTGATAGGACTCAATGCAGACATGAGCCCATAACCAAAGTGAATGAAAAGTTTAACCTAAGGCAATGTATGCCCAGAAAGGCAGGTTATTTATAAATGTCCTGATCTGAAAGGAAACTGTGCTTCACTAAGAGATAAAAGAAGACTAATTGTTAGACTTACACTTTTGTTCATGACAGAATGAAAATGGCAGGTGAATAAAACGACTGGATCTTGTTAAAAATATATCTGAGCTGCAACGACATTAAAAGCTCTCCATTGACTACATGCCCCTTCATTTACTGTGTGAAGTGCCATCACTTTGAAGAGCACTGTGAAGAGCACTACGATTACTGAAGAAGTTATACCGTCAGCTGTCTTTCTAATTAAATGCAAAAACGATAATTGCTCTTAAAAGAATAGATTTTCAGGAGAACTCTCACCACCTCTGCTCACCCTTCGCCCACTGCCAAAATACATAAACACACACACACACACCAATATGTTTTGGCATAATTCAAAACTCTAAGCTGGAAAGCAATTGGAGAAGCTTTTCCATTCTCTTGGGGTTATTATCAAGCCAAAAGTAATAATCTTTCCCAGCCCTGTCATCTATCAATTGGGTGACGTAACAGTCTTCAAAGCACAAGATTAATATAGTTGGAGCATGACAATAAAGCCTTAAAAAAGTAAATGGCACTGAAGGACTTAAAAGTGTGTCTTTGACAAACCACTTAGTTCTCTGATTTTAGGGGCAGAGTAACGATCCTTTCAGAGAGGAAAGAGAAGTGGGTAGTAGGGGCTGGATTGAACATGAGCCTCTGTGATTCTTAAACAGGTTTTGATAGTCTATGTAAACTTGGAAAAAATCAAAGAACCAATCACTCCGTTCAAACCCTTGACCACAGTTACAGTGTCTTTCATCATTCTTACTCCCCTGGGTGGTTGTCACTGCAAGCAGTTCCTTCCGTTAGGCTAATTACTACTTGAGTCAGTGTTTAAGACAGAACTATTTTAGCTTAAAAGAACATAACCACTAATGGGTAAAAGTTGCTATCTGCATCCAATGATGTATGATCTGTGAGTGAAATGCTCATAGTCAAATTGTCTAAACAAGGAGGAAGCCTAATGCAATGTACAATGCTTGAGATACAGTATATCCCAATAGACTGCAAGTAATATTGATAATCATAATATTTTTCTATGCTGTTTGTAACCGTCATAATATACGTTGTATTTGCATAGAGAATGCTAATTTCTGCAGCTGGTTTGAATGTACAGTACAGTGCTGGGCAAAAGTCTTAGGCCACCATTAGATTTGTTGTTTTAGCAATGCTATGATGACTACATTGTATATATTTATTTATCAAAATACAACTAGAAAATATCGGAAATATATACACAGTATCTAAAAACACAAAAATGTCAGAATAAAAATCAGCAACAAAATGGATTCTCAAGATGTGGTATTCAAGAATCCACAGAGGTCAAGGATAAAAATAATAGTGGAAGACAAAGACAACTGTCCAAATCTGATGAGAAGTTTCTCAGAGCTTCTTCTTTGAGAGACCAGAAGAAATCCAGTGAGGACCTGGCTCAGTATCTGGCAGCTCCATCTGGATGCCAAGTTGATCCTTCCACAGTCTGAAGTTTGATCAGGAACAACCTTCGAGGAAGGACAGCAGCCAAGAAACCACTTTTTCAGAAGGGGACGGGGAGAAAAGGCTGAAATCTACAAAAGCCTGCAAAGACTGGAGTGGCGATCAGTGGGAAAAAAAGATTACGGAGTGACAAATGGACGTTTCAAACTTTCAGGTCCAATCATTGGGAATATGTGAGAAGAAGAGTTGGAGAGAGGTGGAAGTATGAATGCTTGCAGCCTTCAGTGAAACATGGTGGAGGTGTCTGTCATGGTTTCAAAACTTCAAGACAGTCTCCCCAAAAGAATTCAAGCTGTGCTAAAGTGCAAAGGGGGTCACACTGAATACTGTAGACTGTAGAAGCCATTTTGTTCCATTGTTTTCTATAATGTGTAGATATTTCCTGCATTTCCTGGTTATATCTAATAAAGAAACTGAAATAAATATAAATTATCATTACAACCTTGCTAAAACTGCAAAACTAACCTAAGACCTTTGCATATTACTGTAGTTCTATCTTTGATAAAAGCTTTAAGAAAGATTAAAGAACATGATTAGGTAACCTCAGAGAATTGTAACCCAATCCTCAGATGTCACTGGGGAACACATCCATTCCAGTCCCAGCCCCAATTAAAGAATGCACTGACATTGAATTCCAGAGAAGTCACAAACTGTTTCCCTAATCCACCCACAAGCATTTTATTTATGATACAAGATCTTTCATTTCAGAGGCCCAAATGGAGGTTGACCCTGCTCCGTTGTGATGTTGGACATTACAGCGCAGCAGCATATGGAAAATGTTGATATGCTGGCTGTGTTTACCTTGCAGATGAAGCTTGCTCTCGGGGCTCTGCAGAAGGACTGAGCTAACTGAGTCCAGATTGTCATAGCTACTGCATCCCAGGGGTCCCGTCCGTGTCTCTGTCACCTGCAAGAGAATTAGGATTGAAATGAAAGACACATTTGAAAAAAGCAAATGTAAATGTAACCCACCTTGAAAAGGAAATTATAGAGATAGTGAATAAATGCGGTAACAAAACATCTAGTGATAGTGATGGTATCACTATGACAACTGTTAAATGGGTAATTGAGGGGATATGCAAACCATTAACCCATATTTTTAAAATGTCGTTTCGACTTGGGCAGTTCCCCAATAATATGAAAATAGCAAAGGTTATTCCATTGTATAAATCTGGTGATAAGCACAACTTATAGACCAGTTTCTGTTGTCACAATTTTCAAAAATTCTGGAAAAACTCTTTAATAACAGATTAGATACATTTATTAACAAACATAAAATCCTCTCTGATTGCCAATATGGTTTTAGGTCGAACCAATCGACATCTTTGGCCATTACCGACCTGATGGAGGACATTACAAGTGCTATGGGTGAGAAGAAATACACAATAGGAATATTTATTGACCTAAAAAAACCATTTGACACAATCAATCATGAATTATTAATGGACAAGTTAGAAAAATATGGGATCAGAGGAATGGTTCTGAAATGGATTAGAAGTTATTTGACACAGAGGTGTCAATTTGTGAAGTTGGGTGAATACCAATCGAGTGAGCTGGATATTGTATGTGGAGTGCCTCAGGGTTCTGTTTTGGGACCTAAATTATTTATATTATACATTAATGATATATGCAAGGTTTCTGATTTAGTGAAAGTGGTTTTGTTTGCTGATGACACTACCATATGGGCATCGGGTGAAAACCTACAGCAACTCTCTGGACGGGTTTCACAGGAACTTGAGAAGATAAAGAAATGGTGTGACAGTAATATAGTATCTCTGAATTTGGATAAAACTAAATTTATGGTATTTGGGAATCGTAGACTAGATAATGAACTTCAATTGAAAATTGGGGGAGCTAATATAGAACGAGTACATGAAATTAAATTTCTAGGTGTCATACTTGATGACAAATTCTCCTGGAAATCTCATATCAGATATGTTCAGAATAAAATAGCAAAAATTATATCGATATTGGCAAGGGTTAGATATATTTTGGACGGGAAAGCACTACGCATTTTGTATTCTTCATTGATTCTACCATACTTAGAGTATGGCGTTGAAAACTGGGGAAATACATACAAAAGCTCACTTCAACCATTGTATATATTACAAAAAAAGAGCGATAAGAATTGTGCATAAGATGGGATATAGGGATCACACCAATGTAGCTTTCATACAGTCTAAATTGTTAAAATGTTTTGATTTAGTGGGATATAAGACTGCTGTGTTTATGTATAAAGCCAGGAACAATTTATTACCTGGTGGAATTCAAAAACTATTTAATGAAAGGGAAGGGGGATACAATTTAAGGGGTCAATTAAATTTAAAAATTCATGCTATACGTACAACCAAAAAAAGATTTTGTATTTCCATAAGTGGGGTAAAACTATAGAATAATTTAAGTGTAGACATAAAAAATAGTAATAGAATTGACGAGTTTAAACATAAATATAAAGGTATGTGTCAATCAAGATATATGCAAGAACAGGCTCAAGGATTAATTAGATGAAACATTGTGGGTGTGGTGTATGAATGATAATACTCTGTAATAATTCTTTAATATATTACTTGTGTGGTG